CTGCTGCTGATTAGCCGTCATGTAAGCTGTTTGCGACTTGGATTGAGGGAACCATTGAGAAACTGGTTGTGGCCAGACCATTGGTGGTCTCGATCCGATATAGCGTGCAGGTGGAGGAGGAACTCCAGGGTCCACCACACTCCCACTGAAATTAACCTGCTGCTCTTGTTCTTGTTGTTGTTTAAGGAACGGCTGAAGTCGCTGTTGCTGAGACATAATTCCACGGGGCGGGTACGCTGCAAGCATGGACTGTCCCTTTATTGAATGTGAGTAAGGGGTTGCCGAAATTGCTTGAGATAGCGCGGGTTCTGTTCTAGCAGTGGTAGCTGGTTGTGGTGTGGGAGGGGGTAGTGGTGTATGTCTATCAGAGGCGAGGCCAACACTGGCACCACTACCACCGCCTCCAGTCGTATCAAACTGACTCAAATAAGAATCGACGCCAAAGGCACTCAACTCAGGCAGTTCCCGGGGCTCTGACTGAGGCTGCGGGACAGGTGTTGCTGAAGCGAGTGGTGCACCGACAACAACAGGTTCCTGCTGACATATCTGCGGCGAATCCTGTGGCCTCGGCCAGGCGATATTTTGAACGTCCTCAGCAAACATGGGATAGCTTTGAACTGGGTGCTGCTCGCAAACAACTTCTGGCATGGGCTAGAAAAGTGACACGACAATTACTCAGGATAGGTGAATTCGTATGTCCTCTGGAAAATCAAAAGACAGCTTGCCGCGCACTAAAACTTACCCTAGGCGCCAATTCGATTTCTGATTTCAGATCCGCTACACAGACAACCTGTTCTGTGCGTTTCTGTGGCTGTTCAGCAAAGGCACCTAGACGCAGCATCCCCTGCGCAGGTGGAAGAGCAAGGCGCTGCTTTAAGTCTGTTGTACTGTTGAAAGCATCGGAAGAGGTGGTGCTACTATGGACAACTCCACTGGAAGGTGCTGCAACTGGGTTTGCAGAATCCTGGTTACCGAAACTCGTGTTTGCGAAATTGTCGGCCATGCTCAGGAAGTCATCCACAAGCATGCAATCATTGACATCATGAAGGCCTAGGGATTAGATT